TGATGCTGAGTGCTGTTGATCTCCAAACAGACTTGAGAGAAATGAAAGCTTGTTTTCCTTTCCCAGCCTTACTTTGATATCTTCGTCAGTTCCCAAGCAGGTAGGTAAAAGAGGTTGCTTCTTTCAGATTTCTCCCATTTATGCTGATTGTTGTCTGTTGTTGTTGTTGTTGCTGTTGCAGTTGGCCAGGAATCTTCACCAACTCTGTTTTCTTTATGTTCACCTGAAGTCCTATATTTGTTGCTTCTTCGGACAACGTTTTGCCTGTTCACTTGCATATCTTCCAGTTTGTGGGAAATCAGACATATATCATCAGCGAAGTGCAGATCCTCCAAGTATTTTGCGTGAGTCCATTTCATGCCTGTTTCCTCGTTGTCCGCTGTTTGTCGCATTATCCAGTCTACTGCAATCAGGAAAATCATTGGCGATTGTAGGCAGCCAGCTGGTCTTACTCCTGTCCTCACTTCGAAGGATTCCGTAAGTTTCCCGTTGTGGATTACTTGGCATGCTTCATTGTCGTACAATTGTTGGATGAGATGTATAATTGTCGGTGGCACCCTGTAGTAGCGAAGTAGTTGCCAAATCACCTCTCGATCGACACTGTCGAAGGCCTTTTCAAAGTCGATGAAGTTAAGGTAGAGAGGTGACTGCCATTCTAAGCTTTGTTCAATGATGATCCGTAATGTGGCGATCTGATCAGTACATGACTTGTTCCTTCTGAATCCAGCCTGTTCCGGTCGAAGTTTTTCATCCAGGGCATGTTTGATTCTCTCCAGGATGATGCGGCTTAGTATTTTGCTTGGGATGGACAGGAGCACAATTCCACGCCAGTTCTTGCATTGCATTAAGTTTCCTTTCTTTGGCAGTTTGAATAAGTATCCTTTCTTCCAATCCTCGGGTACATTGCCCTCTTTCCACACCTTCTCCAGTAGTGGCGTCATCAAGTCCGCTGTTGACTCTGGATCCATTTTCAATGCTTCTGCTGGGATTCCATCTGGTCCTGCTGCTTTTCCAGCTTTTAGCATCTTGATTGCCTTCAGGACTTCTGATTTCGTCGAGGGGTTGATGTTCACTGGTAGCTCTGTCTCCGTCGTTGGTATTGTTAGGCGCGTTGTAGGTGGTGGTCGATTTAGGAGTCTTCTGAAGTGTTCAGCCCAGTGTTTCCTTTGCTCCACTTCTTTGGTGAGTGACTTTCCATTGTCATCCTTCACCGGCTTAATTTGTGTCAAACGTTTGCCCGATAGGTACCTAGTTGTTTGGTAGAATGTTGCGAGATCTCCTTTGCCTGCATCTTGTTCTGCTTTACTTGCCATGGTTTCATAATACTTTCATTTTACTTCTCGGGCACTCTTCTTAACTCTTTTGTTCAGTGTATTGTAGCTTGCATTCAAATCCTGGTTTTGTTGCTCGTCGGTGCACTGGATAATCTTTCGTTTCACCATCCCTCTCTCTTCTATCAGTCTCCAAGTGTCCGTAGTGAGCCACTGTTTGTCCTGTCTCTTCTTTCTGTCTAGAACTTCCATGCAGACTTGACTCCACACTGTTTTCAAGTTGTCCCAGTATTTTCGACGCTGACCTCTTCGCTAGTGTTGATTTGTGTCTCGACTTTGTCCTTTATGCTTGCAGTGAAGATGTCCTTTGTGTCCTGGTCCTTCAGATTTTGAGTGTTGAACTTGGCTTGTGGTCTATCTGCAGCTCCTGTTTCTCTGAAAGCTTTTAATTTGATTTGGATTGTCCCTTGTACGAGATAGTGGTCTGAGCCAACGTCTGCTCCTCTTCTTACTTTCGTGTCCAGTAGGCTGCGCCTCCACTTCCTTGAGATTGAGATGAAGTCAATTTGGTTTTTGGTTCGCCCATCTGGTGACACCCATGTAGCCTTGTGGATATCCTTGTGTTTGTATACGCTGCCACCAATCACTAGTTAATTGAAGGCGCAGAAGTCGGCGAACAGTTCCCCATTTTCATTCATCTTTCCGAGAGCTTCTCTACCAATGATGAGTTCACTTCCTGTGTTGTCTGGACCCAGTTTGGCGTTCATGTCTCCCAGGATAATGACTGCCAGATTCAGTTCCAAATGAAGGAAAGTGTCAGTTATACAATGCTATGCACCCACAAACAACGCAGTCCTCGGAAAGAAAGAAGAATTCTACAAACAATTATGGGCAACAATGGACAATACTCCAGCTGGTGACATTGAAATACTAATGGGATGGCTGAATAATATGCAAAAATTGTCTCTGGGTGAATTTTTTATTCCTTTGCGTTTCGAGTAGAACATAGAGCTTCAAGCCTTGAAGATTCAGCAGGCGTTGTGTTGTTTCTACAGTGGGGGGGGGGGTACGTGTTTGCTGGTCACACGCTCAAACTTCCCTCTTTTACATGCTTATTACCGCCTTGTATACTGGCCAACGTCTAGGAGTGCATCAATCGGGAATCCAACCCACATTTTCCGTGTGGTTGACGAGAATTCTCTACAGCTGAACCAACTATGTGCCGTTAGATTATAAACAACAAGAATTTGTCAAGTCATAAATGTCATGGAGGTTTATCAACCAAGGGCTATATACTTTCTTAACCAAAAGAATCTATTAGTCATCATAACGGGAACAATAACTAAAGAATATTAGATAATTAAATACTACCTTATTAGGAGATACTGATACTGAGACTATTGATTTCTCCCTTAGGCATAAACGAGATCTACAAACACTAGTAATTTCTCATGAAGCCTGTAGCATTGAGGGGACTAAAATTGAAACTAAGTCTAATGCTAAATACCTCGGTCTAGTTCTATCTTCCGACCTTACTTGGACATCTCATATCCTAATGATTTCTAAGAAAGTGTTCTGTCTTACCTACTGCATTAAGAAACTTAGACAACCTGGAATCACCCAACCTCTACTTTCACAATTTGTCAACTCTTGTATCTTACCTATTCTACTTTACTGCTCCCCGTTAGTCTTTCCTGGTCTACTGAAAAAGGACTATACCATCCTGAGAAGGATGTTGAAGGTAGTCAGTAGGACTAGTGGTGTAAATCTCAGTCAGCTCGTCACTACTTTAGTTGATAGGCATCTGAATACATGCGAAAGATGGTCAAAAACCATACTCTCAGACCCCCAACACCCCCTCTATTCCCAACTCTCTCCTTGTATCTCATCAAGTAAAACCATAAATCAGTATAAAATAATCTATGCTCGTACAACCAAGTACAGGAACTCAACGATATCATACTTGGCCCGTGTTCTAAGCGACAGAGACAATGCTAAGCGTGAAACCTATGACTTGCTTTGTTATTAACAACATAATTTTAGGCTCTTTTATTTCTCTCTTATTTTGTATTCTTTAGTGAACTCCTTCTTCAAACATACTTAGCTACCTGAAATATTAACATTGGCTTCCTTTTTTTGTACTTTACTATATTCCTTCTTTTGTGTATCCACTGGTTCCTACTCTATCTGCACTATGAGTTTTACAAAATTGTCCTGTCATTAACCATCACGTAATTATTAGTTTTGTGGTTGTTTTTTCTTATTTTCTATACTTTTCGGCAATATTAAACTGACAATCATTGGTTGTGAACGCCATAGCCACCACCTTAAAACATTTTGTATTATTCAGGATTACTCACACTCCCACTGCATTAGACCTTGGTAGACTTTGGTACTTTTTCGCATTTACAATTGTTTTGTGTTTATCCTGCTTTTTTTGCTGTTGGTGTCTTCAGATTTATTTTTTTGTTTGTTTAGTACTTATTTTAAATGTTGGTAAAATTAGATGCAAATATTGTAGATATGTGCTGAAAATTCCACACTGTACCACTAGTACTGTTTCTGGAATAAAGCAAATTATTATTATTATTATTTTGATGATACATCAACAGAAGACTGACGCAGGACATTTGAATTTGGTTTACTTATGGACCTTAATAAAAATTTAAAAAACACAAAGGTATATTTGTTAACCTTAAACAAGAATATGAAAAGGAAATTAGAAGAAATAAACCAATAGAAATAATGTAATAAGGTCTCACTAACCGTTATAGGTTGAAAAACTTTCAGAGATATTACTTATAATCGATTAAGATAAAAATGCTTTAACTCTTAATCACCTTTGTAAAAATAAGATTAGTAATAAGAACGAAGGAAGTAACGAAAATAATATAGAATTCAAAGTCTCTGTAGTACAGCCGTATAAAGAAGGAATATCAGAGGCCTTACGTAGGATTCTGAATGAGGCTGGAGTTAGGGTGGCATGTAAACCAACCAACCAACTGTCTCAGATATAAACTTTGTCAGCTTAAGGACCCAACAGATCCCATTAAGGAAGACAATAATATAATTTACCAAATACCATGTAATGACCGTGAGTCAGGTCAATTAAATAGGCCTTCAAACTAGTGATGGATCGGGGTTAACTAGATTATTGGAACATGAAGACCTAGCTGGGCGTAGAATGATTGGCCCTGATAAGTTGGACAATCTAGAAAAAGGCTCAGCCATTGCACTGCATTCACTTGCATGTAATCACACAATACGCGAGGTGGGACAGAGTGAGAGTGTTAAAAATTAATACAGTTAGGCGGAGAGAAAGAGAGGTTAATCACACACGTGAAATCGGAATAACACAACCCCTATACCGGATATATGGAGAGTGACAACAAACAACAAGGCTAAGTTGGAGAGAGAGAACATATATATATATATATATATATATATATAAGACCAATTGTGAAACTGTGAGACCAAATTGATATGGTTATGAGTTGCAGTAATTTATGCTCGAGACCTTGTCATCCAGTTGTGTTAATACGGCATCTAATATAGTTCCTCTTGTGAGGATCCATGTGTCGTTTTAGATGTGAAATAATTCTTAAGTTCTTCGCAGCTAAACTACCTGTTACGTGGAGGAAGCACAGACTAAACAATCTCTCCTCCATTTAAAAAAAGAAATTTACTGAGCAACACTGACAAAAGAGATACTTGAGAAGCTTACTCGAATTAAGGTGTCTCAAATATCTGTCCTCTTTCCATACGTCCTGCAACAAGTTTCTTTCTAGCTTCAACTCTTCCCAAAGGTGAGTAATTTCTGTGAAAAAGAGTAAACAAAGCACTGACAAATAACCAAACGCAATTTCTTGCTGTTTATTTATAAAAATTAAAAAATAACAAATTGAGAGAAGAAATATGCATTCCTTCACTTCAATTAGTTAATCGTCATCGGCTGACTCTACACTAACATATAAGTTTTCACATCAAAAGTTTACATAATGTGTATTAAGTTTTTAAAAACACATTTTCCCTTCTCCTTGCAGGGTAAGGCCATCGTCGAATTTCTGAACACCTCGAATCTTGGTTTGGTAAAGGTCCGAATAAAGCTGCTATACAACGCAGCCCAATACTGGCGCATGTTGTCGACACTGCCTGGGCATCAAGCTGACTCTAACAAAGCTTTTAAAGTTATTTATCGTATATCACCTGACCTCTAGCATGGTCTACGAGTATGACTTTTACATACATAAATACATACAGCAGAGGCAATCGGAATTTATCTGGATAAGCCAAATCTGTGCGTTCAAAAGAAATTTGTACAGCTCCTTTCTTTGCCATAGCCAACCACATAATACGTATTAGGTTTTTAAAAACGATTTCTCCTCTCCTCTCATAACTATCTTTTGACTTTGTCATTCTTATAATTCTAGCAAATTCTGTTAACGTGTTTGCATCCTACGTAATCCTACTAAGTCATCCCATTCTTCTTAGTCATCATTATTTTACAAATTTCTTGACTGTGTAATAACTTGTTGCTAACACCTACGAATTGACTTATTTTGAATTCCGCAATTAGAAATGCTCTCCCTGTCGACAAAACTCCCATCATATCTTGTTACTAACATCTAGTAGTTAATCGTTTGGATGACTTTATCCTCTCTCTTAAAAAACTGTACTAAATGGTGGGAATAGACAACAGCAGACTGAGTGAAAAACAACTTCTCTTTGATCAACTTCTTATCATGGCTCGAAGGCAAATATATCTTTTCTAAGTAAATATAATATATAGATACATTTGGTGACCAGTTGGTTGGGAAGGGATAATAAAATTGGAAGATTCGTAAGAAATCGACTGACTTAACTCCATAAGAAAATTAACACCACGTAGGAGAACCCTAGAAACTAAAGAGCACACACGATATAGGTGTCTCGTGTTCGAATTATTCATTTGCTACTAGGTTCATTGTTTATCTCAGGCACCGTCAAATGCACTGCCGTGATGAAAACGATATCAAGTGTTATGAAAAATATTAATCATGGAGGAAGTGTGCTACTGAAAATGACATTGAAAGTTCTGCTGATACTATTTAACGCTTGGAAAGCATCAGAGCAACCAGGAAACTATCAATTACACCTAATCACTAGATACTAATATGAACTGTAGCTAGTGCAGGATATTTGGAAGGCGCATGTTTTCGTGAATGTTAGGGAATATATTTCAAAGAGGGTTAAAGATACTTGGATTTTTTTAAACAGCCTATCTTTCAAACTATGAAGATATCAAAGTCTGTGATGTTATTTGCCAATAAAAACATTACTCTTTATAGCCACTGATGTCACTTTTTTCTCTTCTCGGTGTTCCTCTAGTTTTGACAATGTTGACTATGATTTTTGAAAAAACCTTTAGGGATTTATAAGCTTACAGGTGCAATTATTGAATAGTGTATGCAAATGAAACAATAGTTAGTAAATACGTCAAAAGATGATTCTAACCTTTTGCGACTTTCTCTCCAAATTTTTACAGATTTATCACATGTTTGACGATAGATTGTATCAAACAGACCACTATCATGAACCTGAAGATAAAGATAAACTAGAAGGGAGAAGACAAATAAGTACCCACCCCTTCTTTATGCATGTGCGTTGCCTTTTGATGCGATGTGAATGAACATCCTTCAACAGGGCATTGAATAAATGAATAGCTGATAAATTCACAAGGATAACTCCAGCTAGCAACAATTTCGGCGCACTGCAGATAATTTGGGTGGGCGCATTGCAGAACTTTGGGGCAGTCTTAGGGAGCATTGTAGAATGATAGGGGCATTTGCATGAGCGACCATTTGCTAGAATTCAACCAATGGGAGTAACCCATATGTACTTCCCCAACCAATGACAGCTAACCTTGCTGAACCGCAAACAGTGAATCTTAATTAGTCATTAGTAATACATAAGTTCAAATAATAGACTTTTTTATATAAGTAAACAATGAAATATACTTTTTACTATCTAAACACATCCTAATAGGCCTTTTCATCAGAAGTCTTCTACTGGACTGGAATCCTTGTTGGAAAAGAATGTTTTGCTGGAGCCGAAATACAACTCACAATTTTCATGGGCTGGTACCAAGGAGAAGAAACAATTCAAGGAGACAAAAACGTGTAACCTTGTGATACGTAAGTGAATTTACTTTTTCATTGTAGATTTTATGGAACTATTAACAGTTAACACCAACAAGGCAGTGCTGATCAACGTAGCATAGCGTACACAATCGTGACTTTAATTCAGCGTTGGTTCGACAGACTGAAGTCGAGGATGAGAAAGCGATGACGTTCCCCTTTGGTAGGTCTCTATTTTTTCAAAATTTTATTTTCAGATCACCGCCGACATAAACAAGGAGAACATACCAGATGCTGGAAGCACACGAAGGAATGCTTCTGGTGATTTATATAATGTTTGACTTCTATGATGTGTCGAAGGATTGTAAATTCATTTGTCAAGATTATTAAATATATGTCCCATTAAAATCAACTGCTTTTTAATATCGTGAGTCGTTGAGCTACTGACTGTATGCAGTTTTTCGAGACGAGCTGTTGTACATAATAGATTTGACTCTATGTTAGTTGTAGACTAAGGGTAAAGTGCGGAACCGTAGGCGCGTTGTCCCAGGCTTTAGTCAGTCTTAGAAAGAAAGGCGCATTGCAGAATGTTTGGGGCAGACTTCGGTCGCATTGCAGAATGGTTGAGGAAGGCTTAGGAGCATTGTCCCACGTAAGTCTGTGCGCTCGAAGTATTTTGCCTCTGAGATTCTGCAGTGCTCCCGAAAATAATGCTAGCTGGGACAACTTACTTCAATATGACTATCTAAATGCTTTTTGTATTCTTCTTCAGTATAGAAGGCAATATCACAGCATGATTCCACAGGTATGTAATAATCATGATCTTCTGATTCGAAACCCATACCATACAAGGCTTCATTTCTTCGCCTTCTCCTTCGTCTACCAACATCTGTGAACAGCTTGATTTGATCTAATTCTTCAAGAGCTGTTTCTAATTCACTAAGTTTTTCAGATGCATTCGATAGTAGGTCAAACGATGGAAGTACCATTGTAAATAATGTGACAAGAAATGTTATTCTAGAAAGAGGATAATATCAGTAAACCAATTAAAATGTAACGACAGAAGGCGAGATTCAGGCAACAGATCGTCTATTGAGGAAATCAACAGATATTTATAGATTTTCATGTACATTATTATAGATTATTGTTAGCAGACAAGCACAGTCTTCTGATTGGTTGTTTCTCGCTGAAAGTTAATATTTCATCTCTTTGTGGCCGTTTCTTGAAGGTCAGATCATCTATGTGAGAATTGCATCCGCCTAAGCAAAGTCTGCTGTGATTGGTTTTTGAGTCAGTCTTTGTTCGCGTTTTTCTCATGACCAATATTTGGGACGCAAACTACTGCTCACCATTTTTGGCTAGTAGACAGCTCTCAACACATAAACAGTGCATAATAATAACAGAAATGATAAAGCAAAGCAGTACAATGTTAAAGAGGCGCTGAAGCAACAAAAGTTGCCAAAATGCAACTTAACGAAATCTCATATTCAGTTATAATAATAATATATTCTCATTTTGTACATGAGGGACGCCAGTTTACAGGCATCATCAATATGATAAATTACATATATACGATTAGTAAGCATATTTAATAATGATAATTTATTAAAATACATATCTTTTCCTGCCTGTGTAGGACACACCAATTGTACAGGCATGGATAAGTATTATTTAAATTGCATAAATTTGGTTTATGGTTAAATTACATGGTTGCAGGTGTTTTTGTCTCTGGTTTGTGGAAACAAAATGATAACCAGCCATTCAATGGAGCACATCAAGAAATATAGAAATATTGTCTTTACATTAACAAAAATAACACAAGTAAGTTTTGGATGGATTACAAATACTTGGGAAAATATTAAAGCTTGAAGTCATTCCCCATATAACTTTGGTGTGTACGGCATCGGGTCTTATTCTTGATTTATATCCAAATTTGGTAATAATTGAAAATAAGTGATACACCTGGATAGTCTTGTCGGCATTATCATCGTTACATCACAAGTGAATTGTATGTAAAAATCGGTTGTGTAAAATATCTAATAAGTATATCAAACCAACTAGTAATACTGGTTGCCCGTGAGTTAGAGAAATAGTCTGCACTAATCTACTTGATCGAATTCTTTGCCTGAAATTATTGCTTTGCAAGAAATCGAATAGGCTGTATGCCAACACATCAACCTTCTTTATTCACCAGAACGAGAAGTCATATAACTGCAATTGATACGTATGAAGAGAAACAAACGCGAGAGAACCAGCCAGGCTTTCGACCGGGAGGAGGGTGAATTGGTCACGTCGAAAGATTCTGGAACATAGGCATACTACATATCGGCATCCAAAAATAGTCATATTTCTTAACCTGAAAGAGGTATTGTCAATGTCCACGTCTAACTAAACTGGACCTAACGCTGTCCTTAGAAGACCTTCAGTAACAATGGGCAATAACCAACGCGAAAAAGCAGATCACAGATTGGTGACTCGAAAATCCTTTATTCTTGCACCAATATGGAACCAACCATAAGGTCATTATACACAAAGTCTAAAAATAAATGTCATAACAATTAATCACAATAATACTTCTGATAGTTTTTCTCCGTCTACTAAAGAGCAGCGTGCGATGGAACGATGAATGCAGTATCGGTGACTCCTGCCAAAATATGGAGTTGGGTCTGAGTAAACAACCATGAATTGATCGTTCATTCTTCAACTACATCGACACTCCCCGTCAAAAAGGTGGTACATCCTTTTTTCCATCACGACCAATACACGTTGACTTTGATGCCAGTGAGAGAACCTGGGCCACAAGGACAAAGCTGAAATGAAAAACAAACAACAAAGCCAACACATCACAGACATACCCACAGCACAATCTCACTCGTCGACGACGACCTACGCCTTCCAGTTAAAGCCATCCTCTTGACATCTTGCAACGCAATCGCCACTTGCTAGAATGACTCTTGCAGAAAGCAACATAACCATAGCAGCACCTCATGATACTCTCCACACACGCTCTTATGTATTCAGTACGAATTACCACTGCTATCACTTGTCACTCAGTCTTAGTAACGGTGACGTATGCAAGCCCCAGTCGTCTACATTCTCGCTCCCTGGTATGTGGGACCACAGCCTAAATCGAAACATTCATTCTAAATCATTGATTCCACAGCTAATCCTTGTCTGAGTGTGCATGTCATTCTGAGCACTAGCCTCCCCGGCATATACGACCCATCTGCTGTCTTTAACATCAATCAATTCATTCAAAGATGTAGAAGACTCGAAACAACCTCAGAAGTAAGCACGACAAAAATTTCAACGAAATTATACAATACCCCAGCTAGAATTTTCTTCGGGGGCTCTGCAGACTTTTCGGGGCAAAAACCTTTGGGCGCATTGCCTGTCTTGAGTATTCGCCCCGAAGTCTGCCCCATTAAATCTGCAATGCGCCCGAAGTCTGCCCCAATTAGTCTGCTATGCGCCCTAAGTTACTATTATACACTACAGCCTGGTGCACCGCGCCTACGGTTCCGCATTTAACCCGCAGTCGACAACTAACACTACGTCAATTCTATTACGTACACAGGTCGCTTCAATAAACAGCAAGTTAGCAGCAGCTCAACGATTCACGATATAAGAAAACAGTGGATTTTAATTAGAAATACATTTAACAACATTTACAAGGAATCTACAATCTTTCGACAAGTCAAATAAGTAAGACATCTTATAAATCAGCCGTAAAAGTCATCCGTGTGCTTTCAGGGTCCGGGATGTTCTCTTTGTTGGTATCGACGGTCATCTGAAAATAGAAGTTTGGAAAAATAAATACCTACCAAAGGTGAACGCCGTAGCTTTCTTATCCTCGTCTTCAGTCTGTCTCGACTGTTATGGAACCAACGTTGAATGACAGTCATGACAGTTTTCACTGTGCTATGTCGGTCAGCGGTACCTACTTGGTGTGAACCATTAATAGTTCCTAGAGAAGCAACCACCACACATCGGAAACGATGCTAAGAAGACGAAGACTTCCAAACATGTAAACCTTTCACACTCTCCGATCTTATAGATGTATATACTACAACAAAGCCGAATGCTTCACAGTACCACTCAACAATTGAATGTCTCATCTCCAAACTAGGTCACGCTAACTATCTAAATACTAAAATGGGTATGATTACTAACTGCTACTTTTCTGCACCAAAGTATATTTAGCAGTTTAGTTTATGAAAGGTGAATGTCCCTATGACCAAACGGTCATAAGGGAAATAAGTAGTATATTCATATACCACTACTTCTCGAATTATATCATATGGAGTTTTTAATAGTCAAATTAAGTCTTGTTTACGTATGTCGTTAACTTTCAAAATAATTTCTTACTCTTATATTTTGTTCAAGTCAAATGATAAGCTGGGTAACCGACGTCGTAAGCGAGGAAGACGACAAAGAAATAAAAACACCATGGATGTTGAAACACATACAAGCAATAAAGGAGAAGTGAATGCTGATTCTAAAAATGATCCTTTCGCATCACATTCATTGGTGAATATTCAAACAAAACGATGACAATGTCTAAGTAGTATCCATAGAATTTATTATTATTATTTATCTAATCGCAGAGAAACTTGGTACAATTTGGCACCAAGAAAGATGCGCCACACAATAATAATAAAACAACATAGATTAAGTAAATATAAGTAGAAAACGGATAAAGAACTTCATCTGGAAGGAAAACAGTCATGTTTAACAAGTTCAAACAGTATGCGTTAACTATCATCAGAAAGGGAAGAAAGAAGGGAATTGCAACACGTTCGCCATTGATTACGATTCTTGGCCATATCCGATAACGTTTCGAGCCATCGATTCGAGCTATCTCGTGGACCTCAACCAGGGAGTCGTGACGCACCAACCGATGCTAATCTAGCACAAATATCCTTCATCCCACGACGCCACGTCACGGACTGACCACCCCTCCGCCTTTTCCATCCCGTCCCAGGGTTAGCGAACAGAGACCTGTACGAAGCCTCTAGGATGACATTCGCGGCACATGTCCAATCCATAGAATACACGGTCGACCTACACTGCTACAAATGGTGAGTGTACATGTCTTTTATTTTATGTGATTTCTATCATCTTCAAGAACCAAAAATCCAACAATAACCACTTGATTTTGGTAATAACGATATATTGTAAATATTATAAATATAAATGTCTTATTTTGAATCTCTTCAATGTCCTACTTCTACCTTGCATTAAACGCGTCCCTCTATTCTTCTTGAAACGCTTTCATACAGACGTTTGCCAATACTTGTTGTCAGTCAAGTCAACTGTCCGCCTCTTTCCTGTGACCTAGTAAAGTCTGATCATAGAATAATATTTGTTTCACAATCTCATCATGAGATGACATCGGGAAACCTGGGAGTACTGGACAGCTATTCTGTCCATGTTCGGGACTCTTCATCACTTCTAGTGAGAACTCGTGACCAGTGGGATACAGCAGGTCGGACATGAGGACAAACAATCGCCAGCGATAACACTGACTAGTGCCAGTCGCGCTATTTCGTGCGTGGATTCGCAAAAGTTGGAATTCATGCGTTGGCCATTGGACCGGGTCCAAGTGGATTAATGGCGTACGAGCTCGCCTTGTAACCATAAGGTCATTGTTTCCAACCCAAAGATGTAAGCGGTACTTAAATTCAAGCCTTTTTTGGTTTAATAGTAAACATCTGCGCCGCTTTCGTTGGAAATGTTGAAATTTACAATAAATTCGAGACAGCAGCATTTGTAGTGTGTGTAAACAAATGCCTCAAAGGTAGATAGATACTAGACGACTATAAAATAAGTGAGCAGTTTTGAAATCCTGGTCAATGAATTTAAATTCGTGGCAGACTGAATAAAAGTCGGGTGCACAATCTAGTCAGCTACACCACTGCTTATGAGCACAACTAATACAATATTAGTTTCTCATCATATTAAAACCAATCATCTCGAAGATTGACCCTGAATTATTCTCAACTTCATCACAATTTAATGTTTTCTTTCATGGAAGTTCTACTTATTTATTTCTGATATAACGACGTTCATAGATAGCTTCAACAAAAACACCGGCTTTAGTAGGTGGATTTTAAAGCTTTATTAAGTAAACTTGTATGTTGTCTGAAATACTCAAGATTACTAACTGCCTGTTATACTGTATTATCTTCACCTTTTTAGAATTAAATTCGTAATTAAATCAATGTGTGATTCGATTGTGTCTATCTTTCTATACTGTCGCAAATTATTTCAGTTGTTGGCTGAAGATATTCGCAAAGAACGTAATCAACTTATGTAGTGCTTACGGTATATTGTGAACCAAAATTTTTTCCAAGAATAACCATCAGCCCGTGAAATTGCGATATTGATTCTTGATCTGAATGGGAAGAAATACGAAAATATTGTGTATATGCTCGGTTTAATCACACTTATATATTTTATAAAAAAACAATTATTATTATTATTAATATGTACATTCATTTTTTCAATAAATTCAAAAATAGCGTCCATCAGAATTATCTTAGTATGTTTTCGATGAACAACCGGGTTAACTTCTTCTAGACCAAACTTTTCTTCTCCCATAACCATATCGGGCTGCTTTTCGTCGTCTTCTCTTTCTGACTACCCGACATACGGGTGTTGTACAAGTTTGGAGGACTGATTCCTCAGGCGCTCTAAATTCACTTGATTGATCAAGTACCTGGGATTCTGAAACCATAACTTGGTCATTTGATTTTCTTATTGTTGTATTGGTTTGATTGGATTCGATTGTTGCTCCTGGTTTATTGCCGGATGCCGGTAAATGAACATTGTGCCACCATCGAAAACATTGTGCTGAACAAAGACGAGGGAATCGCGGGCACGCTGCGCAAACCATGGTGACTCCCGTTTCATAATTCACGCATTTTCTCAGTTTACATGCAATACACTCCGTTGTGTCACTGACTAAACCAGTAGTAGTAGTAGTAACACCAGTTTCAAGCATATATTGAAAAAGGAAGTCTATAGAGATTAACTTGTGTTTATTACTTATTCGTTTCCATGCTTCCTCTTGTGTAGAAGTACTAGTACTGGGTGTAACAGTACCACATGTACTACTCATTTGACTGTTAGGAGGTACTGCATTATTGACTACCTGGTTTGATGGTTCACACAAATGATGATTGTTGTTATTTATTGCCTCTCCATTTCCAATATTTTCTAAAATGTGATAAATATAAAACGAAATTCAATTAAGTTAGAATCTCTTAACATCAACAAGTCCACACTGAATTTACCTTTTAAGTTTTAACTGTGCACTGTCACGCTTATTGATTGCAAGTCACCTGGTCTAAAACAACTGTATGCATCTGAAGCCTGATAGTGAATTCTGCCTGTCAGGAATTAATAACCCCCCACTGCCAAAGTATTTCTGCAACTAAAAGTAAATATTCATTGGACTTTGTTTTCACCAACCAGTTAGTGACTACTCTACATGAGGACATTCGTGTGACCATTTATAAGTAGAAAATAAGGTACATAGTTTTATTGTGTGACGAGATATCGCAGAAGAAAGTTGTCCTGCAAAAATGATAAATATCTATAAAAACTAACTAGTGAGAAATTATAAGTTATGACAATATGCTATTTAGATCTAAATACTGCTAACGTCACAAGGATATTAGATAGTCGTAGCGAAAGCATGAAGTTGTTCTCCAATTCCAAGTTGTTAGTCGATACACGCCAGTACATTAACTAAAGCTCAACACAGAAAACTACCTCTGACAGGCCATGGTTGACTTTGCATATGTATTACCGTTTGAAGAAGCCCTTCAAAAGTCCAATTACTCACTTGCTTAACTTCTAAAATGTACAAAGTAGCTAGTGAGCTGCGCGGCGTATACTAACCAAAGTACACGGACTGATCTTACAGAAGCAACAGAATGGAGTTACTCCAGAGAGTGGAAGCAGAAGCTATCCATTTGCTTAATAAAGTGGATAAGTCATAGGCATAAGAGAAGTTCCAGTTATTGGCGATACAGGTCAACATTACCTAGGAATTCAGTCACAATTTAAGTTATTGCTTTCTTAGACAGAAAAACTATAAGTACGTCTTCACCATTCTTCCGACCTGAAGTAAGTTCCTTTTTTATAGAACGGAATCTCATTTTATTCGTTGGAGACCACTCATTGATTTGCACAAACTCAGTTATCAAAAACAAATAAATATATACGTACAAGGATACTCTGTGTTGGGAATGTGCCATATTCACCAAGGAAAACTGCCTATAACACGAAGTTAGATTCTTTACAGGTTGGATCCCTTCATTCTGATATTTGATAAATTTGCCGGCTTATCGGATAGGAACACCTGTAGCGATAAATGCACACCACCACTTACTGACTGTTTGAGTTTTCCATATGAAACTTTACGACAAAAGTGAGGCAGTTCAAGTTGCCACGCTCCATGAGGCACAAAAGTTAGAAAAGAGAAAGGAAATTTACAAAATAATGAATAATTATATCGGAAATAACGAAGACTTAGTGGATCTGAGACATTGTAAACATTAACAACGACTCTCAACCATATCACCAACAGTCTTAAGCCATTGGTTCTTTACATCTCGAGAAATACAGCCAGACAGTCTACATCTCATTACGTGACTCAAACCACCGGTCATAGGCGCCAAGCATTGATGTCGAGTTTTGACTGCACCACAACTAACTCTCTTCCAGCTTAACCTTAGGTCCATAATGGATAAGATTTTATTTTGATAAATCACACAGTGTAGTACAGTTATATTAACAGATGACGTTTCGAGCACAAACTATTGCTCATAATCATATCAAGTTACTCACACCACTTCTTTCCTTCATTTATATACATGTGTGGAATCGAATAGATATTGGAATAAAATTCAATATGAGATAATGTACATTCAGAAATAATAGTACGAGTTTTATTAATCCATTGCAATTAGATGGGAAATACGACGAGTGTTTTTATGGTCATAATAAGTTAATTGTTAGAATGTTATGATGTGCTTGAATGGGAATAGAATTTTAAGATTATTTATTATCCTCTTCTGATTTGACTGGCGGTAATAATATCTTCCATATTTCTGGTATTTGCATTGAGTCACCTCTGTTCCATGTGTTGGGTGTAGACTCGATGAATAAGGAATCCTTATTTTATCTTCTCATTATCTTGTTCACTTAGTTTACGTATTTCCTCCTTCCCACAGATATTTTATTATCAATGAGTATTTACTAATTGCTGTGTAAAGTGAACGTTTTTCTGACCTTTCCCAAGATATCACTCCTAAATTTCTCCTTGGTCAGCATTATTAGTATATTTCCAGCAATGTGCTGCATACTGCACAGTGGTCATACCTTAGTGAAATCCTGAATAATCGTCACTACATCAAGTTGACACGAAAGCAGACAGCACTTTGGATTAAGAATGTAATTTCACTTGTCTCACTGATTCTAATCTTTATACAGCACATGTAACGGTAAAGATCTCCAGCCTTAAGGCGATGACGGTTAGACGATCGGTCACTATAAATGCTGCTGAAAAAACATTTTTATGCTAAAATGAAGTTAAAGAATACAGTCAGGGGGACGAACGCACCAATGACTTCGGGACTGTCAATTCTGCTAAAATGCTAATTCGGGTCCTTAACTCAGCCATTACGTAATATACTCCCGCCTACCTCTACCGCAGCCTTAACCTAACCCTAGTCTGACTTTAAACTAGCAAAATCAGTTGTTTTCACTGGATTTAGTACTTCTCTTATGAGTATACTGTTATTCAACTGATTTCGCTCCCTGACTGAGATTTCCAAGGCTAATCTTGCGTTTATTCTTCAGTGTCTTTTCTTTACTTTCGCCGAGAGAATCACATGACAGCAGCTAAAAGATTTGAGGATCATGACTTATTCTAATTGTAATATAATCCCCCAAGTTGACGAAGTACCAAAATAATATAATATGTGCAGTCACCCAGTCGTCAACAGATAAATACTTTGAGGACGAGGAAGTCAATGTAACTCAAACGCATTACACCTAGTTAACTGGTTTTTTGATTCTAATGAAATAATAAATAGTCTCCCTGTGCTACTTGCTTTCCAAATGACTTGCTGTCTTAGGGTCATTCATACAAATGTAAAGTTTACTCCCAAAAATGTTTTACATACCACTGCCCATAACTTCACTGTTTTGATTTTGATCGTCATGATTTGGTTGTGCATCCATATCTGTGTTCATACTCTATAAAACGTTTACGTATACTTTCTTAACACTTACTGTGCCTGAAAATAAATCATTGATTAGTAACGATAAACATATTACCTTTACTTTTCATTTTTATATCGGCTTCCAAATTTATAAGATGTCCGTATATTAAACCGACAACATGTTGTTGCAGATCGCATGTCATGTCGAATGCACGCCGCAAGTCACGAAAGTGCAAGTCTCCAGCCAAAACATGCGCGTTATGTATCTGAGGCAAAATTACAAAAGACAGTTGCATATTTACCGTATCAGCGTACAATCTCAGGAAGTCTCGTGAATCCCCTGTCATAATTAAATTCCAGCTGCGCGCCTTAAACTGGGATGCAATATCCAATGAAAGATGCTATAGTCAGTTTCAAGGTCATGATGGGTTCCCGCGTCTGCTGGTTATATGTTCTCGTGAGTTCGTTTTCCATTGAATTTTAAAGGTTTTCTTGGATGTTTTGTTCATTTTTTAGTGTGTAGGTCAGTTTCTGTCACTGACTGCTACTATTAAGCTTATTTTTAGCCTGAAGTTCCCAGTTATTATTTTGGTAGTTAAGGATTATGGTAAACCTGCAATCATTGAGCCAATTCACGTATACCATGCTAATATAGTAACATTATTTAATAATTGGTGTTTCTTTGGATTCAATGTGTTTACTTTGTTGTACAACAAACTACGAAGACAACAAGTAAACACACTGAATCCAAAGAAACACCAATTGATACAACACCCCTTGATTTATACAAACAGTGCACATAAACTCGCGGACTATGTCTTGATGTAATTCCTTTGAAGAATCGCAGGACTTACAGCAGTACGCCTGTAACCCCTCTCGGGTTGACAATTCTTAGTTGAAAGAGGTCCGGATACAAACAAAATTAACCAACAGGTAGATAACAGATGATGCCAAATCAATGTATGCAACATGAAAATATATACAAGATAACACCAAGTACGATGGGCCGTGCTTCGATGTACTACCCTTGAAGAATTGTAGGACTTACAGCAGTACGCCCACAACCCTTCTCAGATCGTCGCAGAGTTCATTTGCTGACCTCCTTCTATTACCGATATCTTCAAGTTTGAATGGTGACACACCCATGACATTGTATCGTGGAATGTAAATGACTAAAAAACTTACGAGGCATCTGACCAACCAAGCAGAGGCACAGAGTAATTTACACCAAAGATAATACCATTCAAATTCGTAAGTTTCATTCCCATTAACTAGCATAGCGAAAACAGTTCCCAAATCAACGTGTTAAAAGGTGTTTGTATTGAATGGCGCACACGCGCAGTTATGACAGATAGGTTAACAAATCAGAATATATTGCCAAAGTTTTTGGAATCACCTAAATCTCATAAGTATTGTAGACGCTGAGGCTGGTGCTTACATTAGAAGGTACTGGCTAAGAACACGGAAATATTGGGCCGCACACAGTTTGCCATGTGCACACGTCGTTGAGGCTTTCTTGAACTCATGTCTAAGCTGTGGTATGTTCCACTTCCTTAAATGTTACTCTTAGATATTCTGAGAAACAGTGAGAGGTGGACACATCTATATAACACAACGGACAATATTCCGAGAGCCGTCCGCTTAGCACCGAAACTAAACAACGCGTTTCGAAATGCTCATGAACGTTTAAGATGTCGTCTCATCCGTCTGAACCAAAGAAATCCGGATGGTGCACTGCGGGAAATAGCAGAGTTCACCAGGTGGTTAGACAATTTGCTAGTAAATGAACCACAAACAACTTTAAGATTACGACGTGCCCCTGTTAATCGCCTACTTTTGTCAAAATGTTTGCATTGCCTTATTGTTTCCGTATGTATTCATAATATAAACATGTATTTCTAAACTGCTGTTACACTTCATTTCCCTTTAAATGCCTAGGAGTGACAGTTTGAAGAATACTTTGTTTGATTGTCTCGTGATGAGAGCGCTTTGGAAGTCAGTTATAAATTACACCGATCTGTGTCTTATTTACTACGTTTTATCAGCCGAAGATTTGTAGTTCATAGCATATCCTGAGTAACGGTGACTAATACGATTTATCGCTTATACCGAACCTATTCTTCGATAATGCCTTTTTACGGTAAATGAAGATTTTATCCACCCACTATCTTCTGAAATAACGTTGGTCGTGTTTAAAAAGAGAGCCGGGTGCAAAATAAAGTCTTTTCGTTCTGAAGTAACGCTAGTCCGTGCTAATATGTCCTGTGAGGGCTGGAACAACGCTGATAAGCAAACCCAGCAGGTTCTAATCTACTCCTGAAAATGCATAGAAAAAGAACACGGTGCTGAATTAGTGCCAGTCATGCTGAAAACCGGCACTGAGTTCTAGTCTGTGCCATTAGAGAATCCATTTCAGAACAAATTCAGAATTTACTCACTACAGGATGTTAGAATTATCTCAGAATTAGTGAGATTTAATTCAGCATTATTATAAGCTTGGGACGCTTAGAAGACCAAATTTACAACAATTCTCAACAAAATCTAACCTATGCGTCAATGATATCATGCCCTTTTACGGTAAGTGAATATTTTATCTACTTGAAGTGAACCCAGTATGTACTGAAATAACCCTGGTCCTTCTTAAAAAGGAGCACTGGATACTGAACCTGGGCTAGAGGAGCTGCAATAAGGCTGGTAATCTACTTCTGGAAATGTGTGGAAGAAGAGCAAGGTGGTGAATTACAGCCGGTCATGCTGATAAACCATCGCACAGTTCCGGTTCACGGAAACAATCAAACAATGGGAGAACAGTTAGGGAGTTTACTTATTAAATAATGTTACTATATTAGCATGGTATACGTGAATTGGCTCAATGATTGCAGGTTTACCATAATCCTTAACTACCAAAATAATAACTGGGAACTTCAGGCTAAAAATAAGCTTAATAGTAGCAGTCAGTGACAGAAACTGACCTACACACTAAAAAATGAACAAAACATCCAAGAAAACCTTTAAAATTCAATGGAAAACGAATTCACGAGAACATATAACCAGCAGACGCGGGAACCCATCATGACCTTGAAACTGACTATAGCATCTTTCATTGGATATTGCATCCCAGTTTAAGGCGCGCAGCTGGAATTTAATTATGACAGGGGATTCACGAGACATCCTGAGATTGTACGCTGATACGGTAAATATGCAACTGTCTTTTGTAATTTTGCCTCAGATACATAACGCGCATGTTTTGGCTGGAGACTTGCACTTTCGTGACTTGCGGCGTGCATTCGACATGACATGCGATCTGCAACAACATGTTGTCGGTTTAATATACGGACATCTTATAAATTTGGAAGCCGATATAAAAATGAAAAGTAAAGGTAATATGTTTATCGTTACTAATCAATGATTTATTTTCAGGCACAGTAAGTGTTAAGAAAGTATACGTAAACGTTTTATAGAGTATGAACACAGATATGGATGCACAACCAAATCATGACGATCAAAATCAAAACAGTGAAGTTATGGGCAGTGGTATGTAAAACATTTTTGGGAGTAAACTTTACATTTGTATGAATGACCCTAAGACAGCAAGTCATTTGGAAAGCAAGTAGCACAGGGAGACTATTTATTATTTCATTAGAATCAAAAAACCAGTTAACTAGGTGTAATGCGTTTGAGTTACATTGACTTCCTCGTCCTCAAAGTATTTATCTGTTGACGACTGGGTGACTGCACATATTATATTATTTTGGTACTTCGTCAACTTGGGGGATTATATTACAATTAGAATAAGTCATGATCCTCAAATCTTTTAGCTGCTGTCATGTGATTCTCTCGGCGAAAGTAAAGAAAAGACACTGAAGAATAAACGCAAGATTAGCCTTGGAAATCTCAGCCAGGGAGCGAAATCAGTTGAATAACAGTATACTCATAAGAGAAGTACTAAATCCAGTGAAAACAACTGATTTTGCTAGTTTAAAGTCAGACTAGGGTTAGGTTAAGGCTGCGGTAGAGGTAGGCGGGAGTATATTACGTAATGGCTGAGTTAAGGACCCGAATTAGCATTTTAGCAGAATTGACAGTCCCGAAGTCATTGGTGCGTTCGTCCCCCTGACTGTATTCTTTAACTTCATTTTAGCATAAAAATGTTTTTTCAGCAGCATTTATAGTGACCGATCGTCTAACCGTCATCGCCTTAAGGCTGGAGATCTTTACCGTTACATGTGCTGTATAAAGATTAGAATCAGTGAGACAAGTGAAATTACATTCTTAATCCAAAGTGCTGTCTGCCTTCGTGTCAACTTGATGTAGTGACGATTATTCAGGATTTCACTAAGGTATGACCACTGTGCAGTATGCAGCACATTGCTGGAAATATACTAATAATGCTGACCAAGGAGAAATTTAGGAGTGATATCTTGGGAAAGGTCAGAAAAACGTTCACTTTACACAGCAATTAGTAAATACTCATTGATAATAAAATATCTGTGGGAAGGAGGAAATACGTAAACTAAGTGAACAAGATAATGAGAAGATAAAATAAGGATTCCTTATTCATCGAGTCTACACCCAACACATGCAACAGAGGTGACTCAATGCAAATACCAGAAATATGGAAGATATTATTACCGCCAGTCAAATCAGAAGAGGATAATAAATAATCTTAAAATTCTATTCCCATTCAAGCACATCATAACATTCTAACAATTAACTTATTATGACCATAAAAACACTCGTCGTATTTCCCATCTAATTGCAATGGATTAATAAAACTCGTACTATTATTTCTGAATGTACATTATCTCATATTGAATTTTATTCCAATATCTATTCGATTCCACACATGTATATAAATGAAGGAAAGAAGTGGTGTGAGTAACTTGATATGATTATGAGCAATAGTTTGTGCTCGAAACGTCATCTGTTAATATAACTGTACTACACTGTGTGATTTATCAAAATAAAATCTTATCCATTATGGACCTAAGGTTAAGCTGGAAGAGAGTTAGTTGTGGTGCAGTCAAAACTCGACATCAATGCTTGGCGCCTATGACCGGTGGTTTGAGTCACGTAATGAGATGTAGACTGTCTGGCTGTATTTCTCGAGATGTAAAGAACCAATGGCTTAAGACTGTTGGTGATATGGTTGAGAGTCGTTGTTAATGTTTACAATGTCTCAGATCCACTAAGTCTTCGTTATTTCCGATATAATTATTCATTATTTTGTAAATTTTTCTCTTTTCTAACTTTTGTGCCTCATGGAGCGTGGCAACTTGAACTGCCTCACTTTTGTCGTAAAGTTTCATATGGAAAACTCAAACAGTCAGTAAGTGGTAGTGTGCAT